GCCTCCGGTGGCATTGTAAAGAGGCCACTTCTCGACACCGGAAACTAAGAGACGAGTTAGTCACTCTTACTCACTAAGTAGCTTTGAGTCAAACTCACTTCCGTGGTTATTGGGGTCGAGGTCGTGAATAAAGCTGATCCACATGCGAGTGGTCAGCTTGGCCAAGTCTAACTTTTCCTGAGTAGCATTAGTAAGAGGGCTGATGCCGGTGGCATATCCTAGGCCGATGCGGTTGTAGAAGATGTAGCCAATCTCGGTGAAGTGAGTGGTGCCGAAAAAGGGGACTAGAAATGTCAGCCGAGTCTTTTGTTTTAAGATAATGGGGGACTGTTTACTCCTGGTCATTGGGGACTCAAATAAGTAAGAGTAAGCCGGAACTCCATACTTGGACCACGCATCGGTCCTGATGCGGCGCCACGAGAGAAAACCCTGGTCTGTGAGCAAAGCGATTGCCCTCTTGAACTGAGCGCCAACAGGACCACCGGCTTCCACGCGGTACTCCGTTGGCAGGCCAAGTGAGTCGACGTTGGGATATAGTGCCATGACAATTTCAGTTGTGTTCTCATCGGGGCCGGATGACTGGATGAGGCTCTTAATGTCACTATCCGTCTTGATGGTGGTGCCGCCAAAGAGTGTTCCCTCATCGGTATTGGTGCCGAGCAGGAATGGTCTCTTTGTAAATTTACCCTCGGCTAGCAGTGTAGATGAGAGATCTGTGATGAAGTCCCCGTCGACGACGGGGTAGAAGCTGACCGAGCCGGAGATCTTTTCGATGGTAGCGTTGAGCTTCTTGAAGGGCACCTTACGAAGACAAGCGAGTTTGTCCTGTTTAGAGTCACAGCCGACTGCCTCAACAATGGTGTCGTAGCGTTGCTGGGGCTTTGTGAGGTTCTTCATCCAAGTACCTTCAGCGCCGGACTCTGCAATTATGCCGCGGAACAAATCATCGTCACGACCTCCGAATGCGGTGGCTTGGTAGCCAACGTTACCACCGCCAGCACTCTCACCCCAAATAGTGACCTTGTTAGGATCCCCGCCAAAGGCCTTGATGTTCTCGTTGATCCAGTGCAAAGCCAGTCGTTGGTCTTTGAGGCCGAGATTGGCAACGCCGGCATCGAGAATATCTTTAGAAGCCATGAAGCCCCAGAAGGAAAGGCGGTCTGGATGCAGATGTGAGTCAAGTAAAAAGTTGACGGGCGGAGAATCTTACAGTCCACGGATATACCGATGAAGGGTTTGCCAGCATTGACAGATTCTTCAACAATAAAACTCAGGTTGTAGACGCCGTTCGCGCTGTAATCTGAAGTCCAACCACCGCCATGGATGAACACACCAACAGGAAGGAGTTTTGACTGTTTGGTCTGTGCCGGCTTGACAATGTTCAAGGTCAAACAGTCCTCGCCCAGAGTAAATGGCCATGCGTCGCTATTCTATCATGTCCGGGATGGTTAGCGACAAGCTACAACCACGCAGACTCGGCTTACACCATATCCGACGCAAGAGTCGGCATACTCGACCGCATTTCTCTTTTTAAACGTTGTATTTAAGCTTTGAGGGTTCTGGAAGCGAAGATCCCCAACGGGCGGCTGAGCATAGGGAATCCCGAGAAACAGGTCTTGGTCGTAGGAGGCAACATGCTTGCCATAGTAGGTGCCGTTTTTTACCTTTGCTGTTGGTGATGACCCGGCAAATGTGCCCTGGATCAGCGGCAGAGCTGCAAGAAGGAGTTTGAGATATGAAGCCATAGTCAAGGCTGATGGTGAGACTCGGCCAATGCGAACGACTGATGGCCAATATATTCAACAATAGGAGGAACCCATTGCTTTTAAACTTGATGTGTTATGGGCTACACCGAGTGCTGCGAGTCTTGTGGCCTTGCTCAAGGATGGCTTCAATAGTATGGTTCCCTTGAGTTCCCTTTCTGGCGATCCTAAGCGCACCCTTGCTCTCTCTCGTCCAGCCGACATGGCATCATCTAACATTGCTCATGTTTCCTCGTCGACCCCCAGTAAAGTTTACGACACGTCAACCAAGTCTGTTCTAGTTCGTGGAGAAGAAGGTCATAAATGTGCGGGGGTTGACTCGGAAGCAAGCCCCATGATGAAGGCGGCTCTCGGCGACGATTCTTCCCCATAAATTCCCCAGAGATTCCCCGGACTTCCCACCTTGGCCGCAAGCCCGGGCACGGGAACTGGTCGGCAAGGTTGCTTGGGTGTTTACGTGTGGGACTGGGGTGATCAGATGGAGGCCTTGGCAGCTATTGAGCAATACCGATCAGAGGGATCATTTCAGGATGAGAAGCTACTGGGATTCCGATTTCCTTGTAGCGTGGAGTCAACAACTTATCTTGGGCTGTCTGCATGCAGATACACAGCCAGACGGGCCTCTATACTCTCTTTAACCATACTCGAGACATGCACAGCTTCAAATTATTCCCGAGCCTTGTCCATCAACATGTCCCGATTCCCAGTCCCGAAGTTGTGCGAACGTGGCATTTAGCCTAATTATCCGCACATGAACCCCTGATCCCCTCAGCAGCCATGGATCTACAAACGCAGAGGGAAAGCAGTGCCTCGGGCTCCTCAATTGAGCTGACAAGTGCAACGATGCCCTTGACTTGTCCGAAAACTGGTTCGTGTTGTTGTGTAACTATAAAGTAAAGGTAACTAGTATTAACTAAAAGCTCCAGCAACCCGTGACGCGGTGGGACGAATAGGCAACTTGATTGAGCTCGATGCTCTGACGTAGGAGGTTTCCGTCTTCAGCTCTACAGTTATCTTCGCATTGATAAAAACACATAGAAATTAAAACAAAACAATTTCCTCATAATTGTTTCGCTGAGGTGGCTTGATATTCACATCCTCGATGGTTCGTGGCGATCGCCCCACCTCTTGATCAAGCGTATTCTCATTGTTTGCCAATTTCACCATGAAAACGCCATCTCTCTCTCCCTCAAACAACAATAAAGTAAAGACTTATCAATGGCACCGTCACGCGTAACACGCTCGAGCGCATTATCGGCATCGCGCAAAATCTCATCTCAAGTCGAATCCGACGTTGAAAGCCCCGACGTCGTCACAAAAGTGGCAAAACGCCGTCCGACGCGCCGCCGTCAAGACGCGTCTGAGAGCGATGCCCCAGTAGACGAGGAAGACAGCGATGAACCCGCGCCAAAACGACGGAAACCTCTGCCATCACGAGGCAAAACGAGGAACAAAAATACCGTCAATGAACTACACCAACGTCTGTTCGGCCCAAATGGTCCATCAGTTGAGCACCCATGCAAGCCTCCATCACGTCTACACACGGTGACATATCATCGTCCCGCCCTCCTCGACTCCTCTTCAGCCCGCGACGCCCTCCTCACCTGGTTCGACAGCGTCAGCGCCAAGCGCAAAATGCCCTGGCGCAAACTGTGGGTAAATCCTCAACACCACTCTGAACCCGAACTGCGCGACCTCCTTGAGCGTCGGGCCTACGAGGTGTGGATCAGCGAAATAATGCTGCAACAAACCCGCGTCGCTGTCGTCATCGACTACTGGAACAATTGGATGGACAAGTGGGAAACCATTCACGACCTCGCTGCTGCCGATCCAGAGCATGTGTTGAGCGCCTGGCGTGGTTTGGGATACTACAGCCGAGCGACGAGAATCCACGACGCGTCCAAACTCGTCGCTTCAGATCCCAAAATGAAAGGCCTCTTGCCCTCTCATCCATCAGATCTCGAGGCCAAAGTCCCAGGAGTAGGCCGGTACACAGCCGGCGCCATATCCTCCATCGTCTTCGGTCGCGCGGCTCCCATGGTCGACGGCAACGTCTTGCGGGTACTAAGCCGACAACTCGGCCTCTTGGGCAACGTGAAAACCGACAAGACAGCCATCGACTTGTTGTGGGCTGCCGCGGACGCGCTCGTGAAAGCGGTGGCGGGAGGTGATGAAGTGAGCGATCGGCCGGGACGATGGGGACAGGCGCTCATGGAATTGGGGAGCACCGTCTGTGCGCCGAAGCCCAATTGTGCGGAATGTCCCATAACTTTGACGTGTCGCGCATATGGTGAGGGAAGATTACTCGCATCCAGTGAGAAAACCGAGATTGGAGATATTGAAGACCTGTGCCATCTCTGCGAAGCTTTGGAGGAGAAGGAAGCGGACGCGATCAATGACACCAAAACCAAGCCTGCAGCGAAGAAGAGTAAACAAATGAACCTGTCGGCATTCATCCTCAAGGACGCAACGTCCAAAACCCAAACTCCAGCCAAGCCCAAACCGACGCTCAGCACCGTCGACATGGAAGTCATCGTCGATCACGCCCGCAAATTCCCCGTCAAAGCCATCAAAAAGGCGGTCCGAGTCGAAGAAACACTCGTCTGCGTCATCCGTCGCAGCGACGGCCAATACCTCATTCAAAAACGACCTGACAAAGGTCTTCTTGCAGGCCTCTGGGAGTTCCCCAGCCAACTACTCGAGGGTCCAAAAAGCAGTACGCAGCAACATCGTCGCTCGGGGGCTATCAGCTTCGTGACGGAATTGGTCCAAGGGTCGCGGTTCAAGCACGTCGGCGAACTGGGGAGTGTGCCATGGCTGTTCTCACACATTAAGCTGACCATGCACGTCCACCTGTTTACCCTAGACGACGGGGATGATGGCCCTGTGGACGAAGATACTCGGCGAAAATGGGTGTCGAGTGATCATGTTGAAAAGGAGTCGATGGGTACTGGTATGAGAAAGTGTTGGACACTGGCAAAGGACCATGAAATTTAGACGATGGGTGCTTCCAAGTAATAGTAACATTTAATCCACGACATCGAGGCAGGACCATGAGGGATAGCACAAGCAGTGAATCCCTTGCCCCACATAAGTCCAGTCGAGAACCGACTCATTGGCTTTCCAACAGTCATCTTGTTTCATCCACGGGAGAAGGTCAGCCACCTCAGGAACAAGAGAGTCGTGCAAAAAGCGATATTCAGACCAATGAAGATCGTTTGGAAGTGCAAAAAGAAATGATGAAATTGGGATTCGAACCCAAGCCTATTACTAGACTGCGAAGATATCGTCCTTGGTTGGGATGTAACCTGAACACAGCGCCTTAGACCGCTCGGCCATTTCACCTTGTTTGATGAAAGTCTGGCCCCAAAATGATGTATATGAACCTCGTCTACCCGGGGGCGCTAAGGCTGTGGTTGTTTTCCATCCTTCGTGCCAGGGCTCTTGTGGTTCATTTTGACGCACCTAACGACTCGCCTTGTATTGCAGCATGCTTCAATTGGGTTGGGAGAATGGCAAAGAGTCCGCCCATTGGGAGTACATATCATATCGAGTCAACATGCGCGTCCTCGTGATGTTTTCTCGACGCCTGTGGCAGTTCGAAACAGAGCGCCTCGGCCTTTTACGCAGTGTTGGTGATGCTCCAACATCCAACCTTTGCCCATAAGTCTCTTTGGCAGTGATTACTTACTTCATCGAGTGACTCACTGGCGCATATCCATGGATCTAATTATTTGGGCTACAACTATTAGAAGCTGCCTACCAGCTGGAGTTTAACAGTGAACCATCCCCCCACAAGCAACAGTTGCGGCCACTCTTGGTCTCGACTTCGCTTCTATTGTCTGCCTGCATTACATAATTATTGACGTGATGGGCGTAGTTATGTGACAAAATAATAGCATGGTCAGGTCCAAAAAAGCATTGATAATAGAGATTGAAAGAGCCTTGTTCAATTATAAAGGAAAGGCGCGAAAATCGCACGACAACAAGAGGGCCGCCTGTCTCCTCGCGTCCGATTGCTTGAGTTGAGCAGCTTCAACCACCACCATCCACATCAAACAAGTAATCATAATGCTGCTACGGCTTCACTTGCTATTACCCGCCACGAATTCTTCCCGAGTGCGAGGTTGGGCCTGCATCGTTCTGGAATCATGGGGTCCCCATGCGCTAGATACCAGTCATCCACGGGGCCTCTCGCCTGGCCGAAGGGGCCAGAAGGACTCAGGAGTGATTCAGAAGGCAAAACAGACAACGTCTGAAGCAGGAAGTGCGACCGACGTAATCCAGCTAGAAAGGGATTGAATGTAAAAATGCCACTTGAAGAAAACTGCTCGTACTGTAGTGTGTACATGCAGTGTGTTATGTGACGTTTACCACGCCGACTAGGTAAGGTTTAATAAATATGTAAATAAATGAAAGTAAAAATAAATAAAGCAAGTAAAGATGATAAAAAAAAAAAAATAAAGCTTCTTACCATTCTAGCAATTATTCACTGCAACATTTGTCGCCTCTCATGTAATAGTAGGTAGGCGCTCTTTATCCTGGCGTTGCTCCAAAGTGCTTGAGAATCTTCCACGCCGCACTCAACATCCCCTTTGGCTCCCTCTTCAGTCAAGTAGCAACTTGGTGCGAAACGATGAAATTCATACTGTGTGTTGGTTGAACACCTTGTATAGGGATGCACCCAAAGTGGAACAGAACGGCTCAAAATGCCTCACATGAAGATTTCCGCAAAGGTTTTTGGGGGCCAACTCTTCCCTCGTGAGCTGGAATTTTGATAGTCATCTTTTGGATAGTTGTAAGGGTAATACATACTGATGTCGGCTTGGGAGCAGTCATGCTGCTTCTGCGTACTAAGACTAACAGACACGACAACTAAGCGCCTGGTTGGAACTGTTGGCCTCTCGCGCCCCTGCATGTTCCAACAAGCGCCCATCGTCAACAGGGGCTCTCTCGTGTTGGCCAAAAGGCCTTCATTCTGCCTTATCGTTGTCCCCTAAGCCAGGAATGGCAGGTACGGCCGGTGCGGCCACGGCTGGGCCTTTGGGCAACCTATCGGGACCCGTCTCGCAAACCTCAGCTGAAGGCTGAGTAGATTCAGATGACTGCCTATCCCTCCTATTAGTACTTAGATGCTCGACCATTGACCTGCTGTTCCTGTGCTATTCTCGTTAGTCTCAACACTATCGCCCACAAACCTCACAATGAGTAACAATGACTCTCCAGCCCAGCGGGCTTCAATGCCTGACTCCGTCTCGCCTACCACAACGCCTTCAAAGGTATCCGTACCCAAAGGAGTGACCAAGAGGAGAAAGGTCTCCACGGGCGCGCGCAATCGGTCCCCAGCTCGAGGAAGCAACTCCTTGTCGCCGGTGGCGCAGCGTCAAGCACGACGTGTTTCGGCCGGGTCGGCAGCAGATCCGATTGCAATTGACGAGGATGAGGACGAGCCAGCGCCCTCAAACGGAGAAGCAGAGAGAACTGCCGAGAGCGACATGCAAACACCCACAAAACTCCCTCGCGCAAAGAGTACCTCAAGCGACCCTTCCGATGGCAAGACAATCAGGACACCTGTTCCACCGCTGCCTCGGAAGTCCCAGTCGTCCCCAGAGGTCTTCAGGACACCAAGATCGAGTAAGAAGTCTTCCCCAACAAGAAGAAAGGATGGGTACGAGGTTGAAAGTGGGATCGTCGATTTGATTCGAAGACCTTGGAAACAAGGCGCGATTAAGAACGCCGACATGGGAAGCAATTACATATTCTCCGTCCTCAACAAGAATACAGACGACAAGTTGCGCAAAGTTGGAATTACGAAGGGGCCAATTTTGACCAGGCAGTATCAGCTCCAGTATACCTGCAGGCTCGAGCTCAAGCAAGAGCCATACCCGAATCAACGACTGATTAGACACTACGCGACAGCAGAGAAGCTCATCAAGGCTGAGCTGCAAAGTGTCTGGCACAGGTATTATTGCGAGCGGTGTGTACAAGAGCACAGAGAGTTCTTCATGGCGCCACTTGAGCTTGTGGTGGAGGTTACTCAGCGATGGACAGCCTTTTGTGACAAAGAGCCTTGGGATGAATGGGGTACTCTCCGTGCTTTCTGGGGGGAACGACTCAATGGCTGGGAGGTGTACTGTGACGAGAAAGATGACTACAAACAACGCGCAAAGCGATGGTCTAAGTTCGTCAATCCCTCGTGGTGGGATATAGCCAGGTTCAACTTGGTATATCTCGCCAAGGCGATTTGGCCACGCAGATGGGAATTTGTCTGCGCTATCCAAGCTCTATTTGTGATGTATGTCACGTTCCCAAACGCCTGGGCCATCATCATTGCGTGGGCTCTTCAATTTGCCCTCTTCTTGGAGGCCGGTCTTGGAAATGATCTCTTGATCATGAAACTGTCTGGGGGAAAGACGACGTCCACGAAATCTTCATCTTCAAGTAATGGGTCCGGCTCTGCAGACCAGGGCGGAGATGGAAGCAATGAGCTGGAAGAGAAGGATTCAAACGACAGCATTGATAATAATTTGTACGAGAATGGGGCTATACCAACCGATGTAATTGAGAAGCCGGATGATGACGATGGAATGGATCTCGACTGATTTAGGATACTATGGATGGTAATGTTCAGGAGTTTTGCAAATAAATCTGATGCTACAATTCGCGGTGCCACAGCCATAATTGAATAGTCATCATTTCTGTACTAGAATATATAGCATCGGTTTATCTACGCTGATCACGGTGTCATTGCCATGTGGCATTGGCTCTGCCTTTCAGCCATTGAAAAGTAACAACGTGATCTAGAATCAACTAATGCCGTCTCATACCGTCAAGTGCATGGAAGCTCTTGCTTTGTTTCATTCATATAACTAGTATGTTGGAGTCCTACTTCTATCCTAGCTGAAGACGTCGTTGTTCGTACAATTCAGATTCCGGCCATCTGCTTAAGACCTAGAACGAGCAAGTGCAAGCTCCTGGACTGACTCTTTTCGTGGCTGGGGATATCTCCACGTAGAGAATATCCCGGGCGTTACTCCTTCGTTGTGCCTGAAGGAGCAGATGCGAGCTTGAGGTGCACTCATCTTAGTGGTGAAGTGTCAAACCGGTGGCGTGTTCCTTTTGGGTGTGCGTAGTGCGCGCGCGAGAATGTTGAATTTAGATAGAGTAATCACTCTCATAAGCGCTGGTATTGCAAATTACTAAGCGGCTTGTTGGGTGCAGCTTTATCTATCTCTTTAATTAGCCAAAGGCAGTCGAGCGAAAGTCGCTGAGTCGGAACTGTGTATTTTTGTTCCCTTGTTCCTTGTCTCCACCATCGCTGCTCGAATTCGAGCTTAATGCCTCTGGGTAGGCTCCCAATGTAGCCGAGGGCTTCTAATGATAATGCTGAAGCATTGCGAGGCAGCAAGATGGCCATGATGACGAACGAGGTCACAGCGATTTCGGAGACCGACCTGAAGCCATAGAGGCGTCGCTTACCTCGATGAGCAGGCATCCATAACGACGGTGACGACAGACGATGCAAGCTCTATTTCCGAAGCATTCGCGAAAGATTTCAAGATGTTCTTATCTTCGTCTTCAGCGTGTCCATCTTCGGCGTCTCGACATTCAGCGTCGTCGTCGGACAGATGAACGATCCCGCGGACCTCTGGAAGCCAGACGAACCGCCATTACCATGTCAGCTGCACATCAGCCACAATGGCTATGTTGGTTTTGAGAAGTTGGTCAGCGATGACATGCTGAGTGCGGATACTTGTTCACATGCTGCAACAATTCGTAGAGTACATCCATTCCCGCGTGAGAACGGCCAAGAAATTCCGCCAAAGTAGATTTGGAGTAGTAAACCTCGATAATAAATGAATGCCGCGGGCATTCCGACCGGTATATGTCACTCTGTACATAATATTGGATAAGTTACCTATGCACTGGACACTAAAACTACCGAAATCACTTGTTGAGGCGGATCATGCCTCGGCTCGGTAAACCCCCAACATGTGGCTCGACCCCGTTTGGCCCAATCACAAGCCGGCCCATGTCCCTCGGTGAAGATCAAAATCTCTTGTCCCTTTTCGTATTCAACTCACTTTTGCCTTCCTTGCCTAATCCCAACGGAGTCATTACTTGCTTATCCGCAGGTTTTTTACCGTCTCTGCTCTAACTATCCGACTCCTCGGAACCGATAGATCCTTACCCTTCGCTGTACTTTCAAGTGCGAAAGTTCTTAAGCTTCGGTATGGCCATCAAGAACATCTCCCGTCAGTCTTTGACGGTGATTGATAACCGCACTGGCAACTCGTATAACATTCCAATCAAGAATAATTCGGTGCTTGCCACCGACATCAAGA